TTATTAAATGGCCTAAATATAATACATTAATGAATTTTTAATTTCTACTATTTTCTATATTAATATTCGGTATTAGTTTATATCTATTTTTTAAATACAAATATGTGTGAGCGCTTGTATTTAATTAAGGTTAAATGAAGGTAATTATACTATTTTGAATCAATTAAATATGTTAAACCGAAGATACTAATGAATTTTTAATGATTAAATTTTTTTAATGTATATTTAGTATTATTTTGAATTTAATTTTTAAATTTAAATATTTATTTTATTATATAAAAGAAAAGTTTTATTCTAATATTTCTTTTTTTGTTTGCATTGCATTCTTCATCGTAAAAAAAAACCACAACATTATGGAAAATAACTTAAAGGTGTTTTACTGTTCATTATTAATAATAATAAATATGTGTTTAAACATTATTTTATTTTAATTTTGTTTTAGTGGATTAAAACACTCAAACTGCGTGGTCAGATAATTAGGATAGATTAAAAAAAAAATTAAAAAAAAAGGTTGCATGGTCCCAAAGATTGTAAATAAAATGTTCAATTCTCATCATTCAAAATGTGTCAGAGAACTTATATAATCATGCATCAATGTTGTGTATGACAGACAAGATTTTTTTTTTATTTTAATAGAAGATAAGAAAAAAAATGAGAAAACAATAAGAAATAGAGTAAAAATTGAGATTATTTGATAAAAATGAAGTGAAAGGATGATAAATTTTTAATTAAATAAAATAAAATAAAATAAAATAAAATCAAATTGATTAATTATAATATATTATATATTTTAATTGCTTTTATTAAAAAAGGGAGAACAGATTACTAATGACATATGCGACGAACCATAATTTTTACAGAGAATTTTTCATTTTTGCTTGAAAATTATTTAGCATGGGACCCACCTTTTTTCACTTATACTCCTTCTACATCAAACACTCTACTTTTACACACTTCCAACTTCTTCCCTCCAATCCCTCTCTTTTCTCCCCCTTTCGATGCATCAAACGAGGTGTAAATGAGAGAAAATTGTTTTCCAATTTTCACGATGAAAAAATTAATTTATTTAAAGTTTATAGAACACATGTATTTCCTAATTAATTGATATTAAAAGCGTATATACATTTAATAAGTATTATATTTATTAAATATAATATTATATAGTATCATCAAATTAATTATATGATATTTATTAAATAAAATAAAAAATATATTTATTTATAAAATATTATATTTATGATATTATATATTACTTTAATAAAATATTTTAAATGTATATAGATTGATACGAAAAGTAATATATTTAATAAATATAGAATATATTATACTTAATAAATGCATTATATTCATAATTGTACTATTTTATAACATTGATATTATCAAAGTTAATTATATATAATATTTAATAAATATATTAATTAATACTATATAAAAATAAATTTTTTTACTCTTTATTTTCACAAATGCTATATATTACTTTCAGTAAATACAATAAATAATATTATTTAAGGAAAACCTGTTTATTCATATGTTAAGAAAATATTCTATCAATAATATCAACTATTATATTTATATCTATGTCCATTGTAACATTGTGTTTTTTTTTTACTATTTCATTGATTATATGATTTCTATGATAAATTATTGTTTTGTTGCTATTATTGTTATATAGCTCTAAGGATCAAGGGAGAGAATCCTTGATAGTTAAGTTGTCTCTAAGTTAAATTTATTTAGAGTTAGTTGGGTCAACTAAAATAAAGGTATATAAGATTTTTTTTTTAAGTTCATATTTTGAGAAAAATTATAGAGAGATTGCAGGGAAAGTTTTTGGAGTTGAGAAATATTTTCTTCCTCATTTTCCTTTGATTCCTTCCAAACTCTTCCTATAATTGATTGGAGTTGGTAGATTGGTGATTCAAAACTTGTGGAGTTGAGAATCTCAAGCTAAGAGTCGTGCAGAGTTCCAAGCTCTTCTTCCGCCTTTTCCTCTTCTTGTTTTTTATTGACTAGAGGTAAGAAAAGTTTGTAATGGATGATTTAAGTGTTGTATTGCTATTTGAATTCATTTGTTTGATGGTTGTTTTGATTAAATTAAGTTGAGATGATGACTTGTAGTGAAGTTATGGTTCTTGGTTGTGTTTTCGAAAGAAAATGGTGATATGTGAACTATCATGGTTGCATGTTGTGTATTGAATTGATCTCAAGCGATTTATGATGCCTATATGTTGTATTGTGTATTGCATGTTGGTCTAGTATGAGTTTCAGGTGGATTATTTGAGTCAAAATGAGGGATTCTCATCATGTTGGACATGTCTTTCATGATGTCATGTGTGACTCAAATCAGGGGTGTTTTACTTTGATCACGTCTGACTTAGTGACGTTAGACCCAAGGTTGAGTGACACCTAATGTGACCAAGACAGAACTCTTTGCCTAAATGATGTTGGGCGCCAATATGGTGACGTCTAACATGAGTTAGGCAAAGACTTTCTGCCTAAAATGGGTCTAGGCATAGGTTTTACCTTGCTAGGTGTGATAAACTAGGAGACTCGCTACCTCATTTGCGCTGAGTGCAAGTAGAATGGTGTCGAGTGTGAACGAGACATAAAACTCCCTTACTCAATTGACGTGGGGCGCATAAAGAGTGGCATTGAGTGTGGTATAATGAAATAAATGCGATGTTTTTTAAGTTGCTTAGCTGTTGAAGTATGATGATTTAGTGATGTAATTGACATTGTATGATGGTAGTTCACTGTGCATTGATTATAGGATAATATATAATGATGTATGGAGTTGTTTGAGACGTAAGTTAATAGTTGATAAGGCTATAAAATTGTATGTTGTTATAATTCATCAAGTTGTTAAGTTGATAGACATGTGGTGAAGATACATGTTTTAGTTGAGATACGTAAAAACTAAACTAAGGAGAATAAAGTTGTTTTAAAAATTAGAATATCTCATTATATGAATATAAGTCGTGGTACTTTGAGAGTCTAGTTGAGAATCTTCAGTAAATAAGCTAGCTTCTAAATGATTAGATGTTTTAATTTGTCTCTTCTAGATTTTATATAAAATTTGTATGGGACCAAGTTGAACCATATGTGTATAAAGTGACAAACTGAGTCAAGTATAAAGTTAAGGGATAAAATCCTTAACTGATTGCTAAAAGGGTATAAATTTGGAGGGTAGTCAATAGACTAATCCCATATGAGATTTATATATGCATTCTAAGACCGTGATAAGTCCACACTCAAGCTGTTATACCCTGGTATAGTATTAGACTTTCCTAATTTAAGTGACAAAACCTGAAAAATCAAATTTAAGTTGTATACACATGACACTTTTATGAGGTCTAACGTTGTTTATACTTGACTTGGTTATAAGTCATACATTGTGTGGTTCGATAAGGTTTAACTACTTAAACTACTCACCTTTATTATAGGAGATCTCAATAGTTGACATGCATGACAACACATTAGTTGTTTAAAGATGTTTATGGTGATAATATTGTTGATGTTGGAAGTTGTTGTGTTATTTATATATCATTGTTGTCCAATTGAAAGTTGTTAAGTTGGGTTGAGTAAAATTTGTTTATGTTGTCTATGTTGTATTAGTGTAATGCTATGTTGTGTATATGTTATTTCGTTCACAAGCTTACCCTATGTTTTTCCTGTGATTGAAACTACTATGATCGTACTTGGTATGAGAGTAGGACGAAATTAGCCGGATGACTTTGTTAGTTGGTGGATGGTCATGCTAGTACCTTGTTTTGGTGTTGCTACCCTGATTGTAGCAAGTATTTTATATAAACGTTGGATCAACGATTAGAGTTATTTTATGTACAGTAATGTAGTTTGTGTAAATGATTTATATGTATAAAGTATGTATGTAATCCCTCAAAGGACTGTTTTGTTTAAATTTTGTATTCTATACTTATATTTGTTACATGAATGTTTAGTGATTGTTGCATGGTAACCATAATATAGATGTGTAGTTTGTAATCCTGTTATGCAATAATTGTGTTATATTAAGTGTAGTGATTTCTTAGGTCGTTACATCTATGTGTATTTTTTTTAAATTTGTTATGTTAAATTATATTTTATGAAAAATAATAATTTTGGTATTTTAGAAGTTCAAGAGACAAAAAAAAAGTAAAAATAATTTGTTAATATATCTTTTAAGCTTACATGTAATATTAATAAATGTATTATTAAATAATATGATAATCGAGTATACATGTCCACATATTATTATATGTAAGAGGAGTTTGAAACATGTTAATTACAATATGCAAAGAGAACCTCAAACTTAATTTTATTATGAATAGATTTTAGTTGAATTCTATCATTTTTTCAGCCGAAATATATGTAATATTTAATCAGACATGTACATGTAGGACAATCTTCACCGAAATATTCTTTCAACTTTTCCCCTATGCTTTGTTGAGTTTCCCCAGATCGCGAATCGAAATGTTCTATTGACACTTGGTAGCACTTTATCAAAGTTGATGGAGACAACCGACCATGGCATTTTGCCAACTTACCATTCGGTATTAGCCATTGAAGCCAACAAAACACATATATAATAAACTCTATTGCCACATGGACTTTATTTTATCACTTCATGTTACAGTTAATTAAGCAGGAAAATTATGTATAATTTTGTATGTAGCCTAATTTAAAGAGGAAGTGGGTTGCATAATCAGCAGCTGAGAGAGGTAGCTAGAAATATGAAATATGCCATAGCTAACTCCAAATGAGGCTTTGTATTTACCCCGACAAGTCCACAAATGCGCGTCACATAAGGAAACTTGATCAGTGTAGTCCATTGTCATTTTGGTTAAAAACAATCACCGCTATTCCTTCCCACAACCCCCAGGGCCATTCTTCCAAGAACCATCACCATCGCCCACGCTCAAACGTTTCATCTTTTTTAATTATACATCATTTTTAATACATACACATTAACCGATTAATACTACTTGATTTCAACTAAGCAACTATAACATGCCGCAAATACCCTTCCAATTAACCGTCAACACCTAATAAAAAGAGAAAACAAAACACCGAGTGTTTCTCTGTGGGCTCTCTCAGCAATAAAGCGAAAGCATTGCAATAACCCTCGCTCTCTCTCAGCTTTAATTTCTTACAGTTATAATAAGTTGGGCCCCAAAAAATAAAAAACCGAAAGGACATTTTGGCTTCATACTAGGAAGCAAAAAGGACAAGGGCGGTGATGTCATTAACAAAACAAAGCATGGGTAAAACTGGAATGTACTTGCCAAAATTTACAATCCTATCCCATTTCTTCTCATCTCTTCTTCTAATCTTTTTTTTTTTTTTTCACTAAAAGAAACCACCAGCTCGGTTTCTTGCTCCTTTATAACGTGCCGTTGAGGAAGAAGAAGAAGAAGCAGACGATGTGGGCCTCATGGCAGCCAAAGAACACTTCTCTTTCTGCATAGCCTCTTCCTCGTCCATGAAAATCTGCTTGCACCTACAATCCACGCTACAAAATGCCCTGTCCCCCCTACAATATTCACACACACAAAAAAGGTTCAATAAGCATATTTAACAATAACAAGAAGAGATCTAGACATTATAAGATCTAGCTAGTAGTCTTGGAGTTAAAGCAAAAACGACAATAACAACAAAGTGTTATTCCTATTGTTAGATACATAGATCAGACGAGATAAAGAAAACAATAATAATAATAATAATAATAACCAAGAGAGAGAGAAGGGCATGTTTATTTTCATTTAGGTTATTGAAAGGACTCACTTGTACATGTAGATGTCTTTCCCCGGCAAGAGCCTCTTTCCACAGAGAAAGCATCGGTGAAGAAAAGTGGAAAGAGAAGGCAAAGAAGGAGGAGGGGAGGGTTGTTTGTTAAGCATGATGGTGGTTTTGTTAATGACTTGGGGTGTTTTTTTGTTGATGTTGCAACCTTTCTGGGCTTCCAACACTACACTGAGACCAACCATGTTTCATTCTATGCTTTCTTTGTCGCTCTTTAATTGTTGGCTCTCTGGGGTCTCAAGAAGTTGGTGGTAGATGAAAAATGCTCGGGGAAACAAAACAACATAAATAGAAGCGAGGAAATTGAAGGAGGAATAGTACGAAGGGAGAAGAGTGGGTCCCCTACAGCTATAGAGCAGTAACAAAGAACGATTAGCGTAGGCAAAGATTTGACTCTTTTCGCTCTGCGTCTGCCACGTAGCGCTGCTTTTAGTTTACATTTCATTTTCCATATTTTTTCGACGCTGGAAAATTGCCTCACTTTTTGTCCTCTTGTGTTTATGTGTTTGGCTTCTTGTTTCGGTACAAGTAACATCTGCCCTAAGATACGACTGTAAATTTAGTGCCATGGTAACTATTTCTTTCGTTATTTTAATGTAATAATTAAATAATTAAATTCTCTGACTGCAGATTAATTAATTCTAAATTATTAACTTTAAAACACTGTTTGTTAGAAAAATGTTCATTTTGGCTTCCATTGGTGTGATGATTTTCTTTTCATGGGAGGAGAAGAATGAATGAGTGAATGCCCAGTCGCATTTAACTTTAGTGAGAGCTTTTAGGTGAAGCACACTGCATGGGTTGTGTGAGTGTGACTGCATTTTTGAACGTTTGAAATTGAAGATGAACCACTTTAGGGTTTGTCTTTTCCCCCAAACACTTTTTTACAACCAGCCAAGCCTAATCCTTCTGGTACTCGCATATAGGACATGGGACTATAATGACTAGTGCATCCATATCTTATTACTATTAGCTTGGAGTTTCATACAATTATTTTTTGTTTAATGTGATTCAAATGTCTAAACTGATTTAAATAATATATTATTTTCGTAGAAATGTGAAAATTATTTTCGTAGCTTTTAAACAAATAGAAACTAAATTCTAGAACCATGTATATTTTACAAAATACGATCAGATTTCTTAGTGTTTGTTTGGTTTCATGGTAGAAATTATCAAAAATGATTTTGCTTTCGATCAAACTTAATTTTAATAAAAGAAATAGACATTTGGTTGTTATTAAGTAAAAATAATTTTGCTTCCAATAAATCTTAATAACTAGTTTCTTTGGAATAAAAAGGATTTTTTATAGAATTTTATAAGTTCATTTGACTAATTTATAAACTAGTTTGACTAAAATAAATTTGTTTTATACATGAACTTATTTAGAGATTGTATAATTTATTTTTATAAGTTAATTGAAGTGATTTATAATTGATAAATTGTTGTTTTGTTTTTATCTTTATTTTTTTGAAATCATTTTTTTTATCTAACTTTTTTATGTCACTTTATATTTACTAGCTAATTCTATCAAATACTTTTAATTTAATTGATTAGTTTATAATTAATATTTCATAATTTTTATTTTTATTTTAATATTGAGATAATATGGTCAGGATCCAAAATTTGACCTGTTATTGTAATTTCAATAAATAAAATAGCTAACCCTCCTAGATATGTTGAAAATTTTAAAATGAGTTTTACAACAAACTTATTTTAAAGGTAAAAGCATCCTAACATAAATCACTTCGCTTGAAAATTAATTGTAACCAAAAATAATTTATTCAGAATCAATTCCACAAATATTCACTCTTAATGTCTTATTTGTCTCGATTAAAAACTATGATATTGATAGAAAATAATAACTAATAAGGAAAAAAAATTGTTTTCGAGCATTATATCATTTTTATAATTGTTGTTATAGGAAAAGTAGTAAGAAATCAAACCAAATCATTTGAATCTAGTTTTAAAAAAAAAAATCAATACTTTTGCAAAATTTACTTCTGTGTTATAAATTATAACACACAATTGACCCCTTCTTTAAAATTTAACCTTAAAACTTTGAGGGTCGAGTTGAATTTTTTCCGTTACTGAAATTAGTAAAAAATGATAGATTATATTCAAATAGAGTCCTATGCTAATTGGGTCTGTCTCGAAACCGTCACTGAATATCTACCACTAATGTGCATTTTTTGTTGTAGCATTTTATTTTACACATTTAGTCACTTTAAAGAAACACATAATGGAGCATACTAACGTGTGACATTCTATTTGTATATTTTAATACGCATGAACCGGTGCTTCTTTTTTTAAAAATTCTAAAACTAGCATTTGACATAACGAACAAAATGCCAAATGGAGTGAAACATCTTATTTAATATATATATATATAT